GCCGGTTGAGCTATAGGCGCCGAGCCGGTTTTTGTTTTTTAAAGGAGAAAATTCCCAGACCATAAATCATAAAAGCTATTTTTATCTACCTTAGGAAAATAAATAATTATGTCAGGTTCACTAACATGTCATGCCTCATATTTAAAAACCTAATTATCTAAAATTTAATCTATTTAAAACGTTTTATGTTTCTTAGGCTTAACAAATGTCCGGAATAGTGACAAGATTTTAGACAAAAATTCCTAGGACAAAGTCCTATTCTTACAGCTGTCCCTTTCTACAATATCTAATATAGTCATAAATTATAGAAAAAATTTTTTTGAGCTAGGGTGTCTTTTTTGCCTGGGCTTAGAGTGCAATGGTGTCATCATAGCCTACTGTAACCTCAAACTCCTGTCCTAAAGCAATATTCCCACCTCAGTCTCTCAAATAGCTGGGACTACAAACACATGCCACCATGCTTGGCTAATTTTTAAATTTTTTGTTATCAGTGGGGTCTCATTATTGCCAGGCTGGTCTCAAACTCCTGGCCTTAAGGGATCCTCCTGCCTCAACTTCCCAAAGTGCTAGGATTATAAGGGTGAGTCACCATACCTAGCGTCTCTTTTAAACCTTTTGTTTAATACCACTTTATCTTCTCTAGGAAAATAAACATCTATGTTAAATGTTACTAGTACATCCACACTTGATGTTGAGATGCTGTCTGGAAACTGACCAGTCAGGGCAGTTTGTGTTTCCTGGGTGTAGACAGTCACCAGAGTGGACCACAGAGGTAAACAATGACTAGTACAAAGAATAAAAGCAGGCAGCTGCTTTCCATTGCCTATTGGCAAGTTCAGCTGTAGAGCTTAGTCGTGGTAGTGGAAAGATCATTTCTTAAAGACTACATTTAATTTCAAAGTCTACTGTACACCCACAGTAGAAATACATGGAGGGCAGAGCTCAAAGAACAAATACAAGTTTCATGAACTGAAAATAAAAATCCATTCTCTTCAAGGTGTTTGACCGCTCTCAAATACTTCTACTGCTTTAACCTACCAGACAGTACTAGTGGGATGGCAACCTCTCAATGGAAATGAAGAAGAAAAAAGTAACACAATAAAAAAGGGCAAAGGTATGGAGGTAGACCAAATCTGAGTTTTGAAATCAATCTTTCCATTGCCAAGTGTACACTGAGTGTGTCTACAAGCTCTGCATCATGCTGGCTGCCCTAGCAGATGTAAAAGATAAAGTCTGACCTTATAAAACTTAGTCTTACTTGGAAGAAAAAATATGAAACTAACACATAATACACAGTGGCCATAAAGTTCATAAAGTTCATATGCAATTTTTAAATTGTATGTGTGTGTGTTTAGCACTTCATTTTTCTTTGGGACAAATTTTAATTGTGGCACAATTTTTATTCTATTTTATTTAATTATTTTTTTTGAGACAGAGTCTCACTTTGTCACCCTAGGCAGAGTGCCGTGGCCGTTACAGCACACAGCAACCTCAAACTCCTAGGCTTAAGCAATTCTCTTGCCTCAGCCTTCCTAGTAGCTGGGACTACAGGCACCTGCCACAACAACACCCAGCTATTTTTAGAGACTCCTGCTCTGGCTCAGGCTGGTCTTGCACCTGTGATCTTAGGCAATCCACCCGCCTTGGCCTCCTAAGTGCTGGGATTACAGGCGTAAGCCACTGTGCCCGGCTTTGTGGCATAATTTTTAACATTGTACACAAACTTTATGGCCACCCTGTATAATCCGGAAAGATTAAATCAGAGAGACTGATTACATCTGCAATTTTTAGTTTATACGTGGTTTGGAATCCCAATTTCAATGCAAGCCAATTATTTGGAATTCAAAAGCAGTTTCCCATAAAAGTAATGTTATACATGGCAGTTAGATTCTCAGGAAACTACACAAGTCTTTTATATTTATATTGTATAAATACTAAGGAATTTAACCGTATATAGCAGTGCTTCTATGGGAAAATATGTCTAGAATTCTTGGAATGCCAGCAATACATCTTCCTATGCTGCCAGGAATATGGTAGGATTAGGACACTCTTTATCAAAACTATCCCAGGAAATAATTTCCCCCAATCATTTTTTTTTTTTTTTTTTGGGACAGAGCCTCAAGCTGTCCCCCTGGGTAGGGTGCCGTGGCATTACAGCTCACAGCAACCTCCAACTCCTGGGCTCAAGCGAGTCTCTTGCCTCCGCCTCCCAAGTAGCTGGACCACAGGTGCCCGCCACAACACCCGACTATTTTTTGGTTGCAGCCGTCATTGTTGTTTGGCGGGTCCGGGCTGGGGATTCGAACCCGCCACCTTAGGTGTACGTGGCTGGCGCCTTAGGTGCCGAGCCATTTCCCCCAATCATTAATGGGGACCCTCCAAGGCTCCATCTGGGCAAGGCCTAGGGGAAGAGATATGGAAGGAAGGGTGGAGTAGGTGAAATCACTTTTGGGTAAGACCAGATCCTTTGTTTCATTGTGAGGGTACTTTAGCCCTTTTCCTCCCTGTTAATTCTGACTCCAAGTCCTCTCCATCCCTGGCCCAAGGAGGAACAGAAAGCAATCCTAAAGTTCCCTTCTTATATCCCAAAGTAAAGACATAGTCCATTAAAAAAAATACTTATAATCATTTATACTATATTTTCCATTTAAACTGTGCAGCACTGTCTCCACCTTCCTCTCTTGTCTTGCCATCGGAAAATCTTATCTTGTTCAATAATGATATTATGATTGTTTTAAAAGCAGAATCCTTGGCTGGGCCCCCAGGTTCATTCATACCTATAATCCTGCCACTCTGGTCGGCTGAGGTGGGTGGGTTACCTGAGCTTAGAATTTGAGAGCAGCTTGACAAGAGCAAGACCCTGTCTCTACTAAAAATAAAAACACTAGCCAGACATTGTGGCAGATGCCTATAGTCCCAGCTACTGGGAGGCTGAGACAGGAGAATCACTTGAACCTAGGAGTTTGAAGCTGGGCAACAGAGTGAGACTCTGTCTCAAAAAAAAAAAAAATCTGTCTTTCAACTTGTGCAGGTAGAAGAGAAAGATGGTCTCCTTTCATGTACACTAATACTTCATTCATGAAAACTGTATCTAGATTTTTAAGGGTACTTTCATTATCCCCTTCCCCCCACACATTTTTACATTTACCTGAAATTCATCCATGATACTGAATGTATACTCATGCCTGGCTATTACGTGATGACAGTTCTTACACAGATCTGCTGAAACAAAGTGAGACAGTAATTAAGTCTTAGAAAATTCCTTTAAACAATAAATTTTCTATTTTCAGCATGATATTGCTTAAACAGAACCCATTATAATACCTACCTTGATTTTAAAAAATCTTGTATCTGTTACAAAGTAATACTAAATAATTAAAGGTCTAAACTCTGATACTTAATGTACATATATTGATTCCCACTGAAAGCTCTCTAAAGTAATCAACACATGTTTAAGTGTGTTTCTTTAACTGTAGCTATGTAAAAGCTTTTATTCTCAGGAATGACAGAAACTGTACTACTATAGTTGATCTCAGAGACTAATGTTGCATGTTACAGTGAATTTAAGGGTCACAAAAGAATGTAGTCAAAATAACATAACTATTGACTTATTGAGTGCTTACTATGTGCCAGATAAAATTTTAAATTCTTTTTACCTCCTTGTGTATCTAATCTTCTCAAAAACCCAATGAGGTAAATAATATCATTACCATCTTTTTAGGGATAAGGAAATAAAGGCACACTGTGGTTAAGTAATAAGGAAGATTTCCATGCTAAGAGATGTTGGAACCAGAATTCAAACCTAAGTAGTCTGGTTCTAGTCCCTAGCTCTTAACTACTGTGCCCTATTGCCTGGAACAAGATAGTTTTTTTTTTTTTTTTTTT